GTCGAAGTCGAGCTGCTTAACAGTCGTTCTTAGGCTTTGATCCAGAAAAACAGTTTCACCTCCTATATAGTCCACTCCTCAGCTCCTAATAACCTCCTATCTTCTGAACACTTCTAAGTGAGCCTGAGACTTGTTCCGGGGCAGATCGAAATTACGTTTAAGATGCTCAAAAATATGGCTAATTTAGTTGAATTATACAGTCATGACGACCGTATAGATCTCAAATCCTGAAATCAGATTTTGAAATTACAGGGCACGCAGTCATTAACTGTATAGTGAATATTTAATATTCTTATATTCTTAAATATAAGGGAGACATTTAAATAGATTTTAATGGCCAGAACGGTACAGAGTCACTTTATAGCTGAAGGCATGGTTAAAAATCAAATATTTTTGAAATAGCTATGATGCATACATAGTCTATACGATAAATTTTTCAAATTGACCGGCGATCTTCTTTTATGCTTTATTATATTAGCCAAAACTGAAGCTTATCATATGACAATATTTTCAAATTAAAACCGCACACAGTGCACGATCTAAAGCTTAGAGATCTCTTTCTGGGATACCATGTCGAACATATAGCTACAGCAGATGTGCTCTTTTCCTTTTTTTTTGCAGCAGCAGCAGTACTAGTAACGTTGATGTAGCAGAAGTCAAAATTGTAAGCTTTCCTAAATGAAGTAGCTACGAGATGTTTCTTTCTGCACAGTATGTCGTGCGAGGAAGGACTGAGATTTAGCTCACCAGCCGGTTCGACGCCTTTGCTGGTGCATTACGTCACATACGATACCATTATCAGTACCATTGAATGCTTCTCAAAGAGCCTGGGCAACATACGACGTCAGGTCCGCTCTGTAGTCAGACTCGACTCGGCATTGCCTTTTCGTTTAACAGAAACCTAAATGCCTTCCTAGATACGTGACGCCTGTGACATATTACATATGTTGCCCATCGGTTGTTTTCAGTCTATTTTGAACTCTATAATGTTTCCTTTGATAAGATTGGCTGGGTCAGTGCTTTTTATTGTGCGAGAGAATTGTGTGCAGGGCAGAAGTGTCCATAACTTTGATTGTCATTGAAGTCGAGAATGTTTGTGCTATCGGAATCCCATTGTAAGCAAATGACGATTTGTATATTATTCATATATAAACTGCGTAGAATCTTAGTTAACATCATTTGCTCAAGTTGTCTAGTTAAGTTCCCGGTTCTTGAACATTTTTAAAGCAAAACGTAGCAACTGCTTTCAAGAGGTTAGGAAACCGAAAATTTATCCTAAATTTATAGCCTGACCCAGTCCCACACAATTATCCAATGATTGTATACATGTTTGTATCCGTAGAGTAGGTGCTGTAAGGTTCCCAAAATTAACGGCTGGATTATAAAGGCGTTAACCTATGATCGTGCATTCAAAACTGAAGAAGATCAGTTTTTAAAATTTTAGCCAGTTTCCTATATCGTTTACGGGTACGTCTAAGGAATAGTACGTCGTAACGTGAAGCGAGAGCTTGGATGGCCCAATTTGTGCAGCAATAAGCAGAGTTTTCATTTAGAACGACTCTATTTTGGTAGAAGTTGCTTCTCGTTCTTCTTACCCAAAAAGGTTTAAATCACAGCCTATTACAAGTTAAGCTCGAGAGACGCCACACTGTCAGACGCCAAAAAGAGGGAGAAATGACATACAGCTCGCAAATTCATCTAAATATATACGACTGTAACACACACGACGCAACCCGTGTAGGAGAGAGGATATTATTTTATGTCTACTAACTAACATACTAACATATTGCTTGAGAAGCTTCTCAAGCACTTCTTTCCCTTCTTCAAAACATAATTGCAATGAAAACCAACGATTTGGGAGTGAACATGATGATTTTGGGTATAGTAACACGTTAAGCTTGCCATATTCGGTTCCGAACAAATAGCTTAAGGATAGATCCAGCCGATGTACAAGTACTACCTTCGCGAGGGGCGGAAGATTACCCAAAAGCGTCGCCCAAATGCTAAAAGATATCCTCCGGATGGAACCACTGTTCATTACGACGTTTACCCCAGTTTACTTCGTATCGGTATGTTCAGCGGAGCTTAACATGTACACATACGTGCTGCACGGTTATTTACGCAAATGCACCTTCTCGTACCCCGATGCATTTCAGAACAGAGGCACATATTCAAACTTAAGAAAATCAATCTGTGTCGATTGATGATGTCTAGGAACGTATTGAACTACATTTGCCTTAGAGCCATCAATAAGCTCTGCCGATCGAAACACACATTCCCACTAAACAATATCCACGCAGGATCTCTGACTAACAAAAAGTAGGGATACTTGTGTAAATGATTAAGGCCTCAATACGAATAAATATGGCCTAAAGGTACGGATTAGAAGGAAACGAAAAGCCGTCCTGAAATAAAATAGTCATATCAAAGGCGGCAGACGTAATAGTATTAGCATAACATACGTAATATTAGCGAAACGAAAGTCAATGAACTGTAAAAATGGCCGTAAAAGATTTAGTAAATATAAAGAACATCTGCAAGTATATAATGGTCGTGTATCTTTGTTTACCTATATTGTGCAATGATTTTATGCTTCACTCATCGGGGCTCTAGAGGCATCGTGCTTCTTTGTTAGTGATTACGGGACAGCGTGTATCTTACAAACGAACTTTTTAATGTGAGCTACTACTTCATCTGTTGAAGCAAATACACAAAATAATGAAATTTCTCACTGAACATAATTAACGTGATCACCGATGTAGCAAAAATCTGTGAAGCATGAGTACGGACCCTGTTGCGACCATTAGAGGTAATAAAGATTTTATGGTGGGCTAGTTTTAAAGGTTTTTGGGCTATTAGTCTGCAGCCTAAGCTGCGCATATATTAAATCCGATGTATGGCAAGCTATAACATGTTTGTCATTTGTTGTTTGTCAGTGTTGCACGCAAATGTCATCATGGCAGTGATTTCCAGCGGTTTGGTGGTCTTTCGAAAAATAGTTTATATGGGCATAAATTTACAAGCTGCCATTTAATCGCGATCCTCAGGTCTCTCTTTTGGGATACGTTAGTCAACAAAAGGCTTTTCCAATATATTGTGCGCCGGGTTTCCTAAACCGATGTCTTTCTTTGTATAATTTCTCAAGTGCATCTAAAGTATAGACTTGTTTGCCCAGTATTGCAAGAGGGTTATCAGTAATTCTAAGGATATATACATAAGTCGGCGTGATAAATACTACAGTGGCCTTTTGAAAGCGAGTAAATTAGACAAAAGGAAGGACGCCAGGCATTTTTCCAACTTATACGCAAGTAGTTACTAAGATTATCAATTTTTCATGATGCAAATGGAGCCGTTTTTGACAGAAAGGCCGAAAACTGTAAATACTCATACAGATAGTGTAGAGCACTACATTATAAATGACGCTCCCTTTAACTATACGCCAAGCCATTTGAGCTTGCTTTCCAAGCCCAAATAACTCAACAGTCATTATTTAACATTCGTTAGTCTTCTGTATAACTGTATAATTTTTACGTCGGGCTGTACTTACAATCAGTAGATATGTTCATTACCGTACCTTCAAAGATTCGTAAAAAGTCCTTCAAATCTGTAGAATCGATTTTAAAAAAGTCACGATGTTGAACCCATTTCTGAGCTGAATACGACGACTGACACTAGCCGAGTCGGTCTCTTCCGAAATTATCTAGCCCAGCGCCTTTCTGCCGTAAGCGATTTTAAAGCCAATTTGCCAACGCAGCCAGCTCTTTATTCTGGATATTCATAGACATAAAAATCTTTACGTATACGGTCTATTTCGATAACCCATAGGCGTGAAGGTGACTACTATTTGGTGTTAGTGGCTGATGCTAGAAGGCGAAGTGTAAATACGCTTCAACCATATATATCCAATGGCGACTTTCATATTACGGGTGTATTGTATTGTACGAGTACACTGTTCGAATATAGTCGAATTAAACGTCTCATATTTGTGTCCACATTGAGAAGTCTAAACAAGGGAAGCTAGAAAATAACGTCCTTGTGTTTACATGTTGGATTCCGTAGTTCGGTAATTTAGAGATGTTTTGGACCCGCTGTACACCTCGCGCTCGTGGTAAACAAGTCAACTCTCGTGGAATCTCTCTCCTATCAGAAGGTAAGAGATTTGCCTGCCAGTTCCAGTGACAGCAGAAAGTGCACGTTAGTCTGAGGGATAACAGAGACGCCTGAAAGGATGGGTCAAGTCTGATCATCCCTCCTTCTCAGTACAACACGACGCTGCCCTACTATTGTCTTTTCTTATGGAATCAGACTAGCCAGAGGTTTGTCTCACGGGTCTTTCATGGCTAGCCCGTCTGCGTCGTGCTGTCCGGATAAGTTTGGGCCGTCTGGCTGGCCTGTTCGTTCCGAAGCACTCCCTCGACGCCCAGATCTTCTATGTTTACAATGCAGTGGTACGTACAGTATAGGTCACGTTTCGTCTCTTCAGTCGAGAACATGCCTCACAGACCACAGGACCGAAAAACAGCCCGAAGATATTGATAGCCGATAGGGGCATAAGACATCTATCGTTGGTGACGAGACTCGATCGGTGCGATGCCTCGATGGGTGTCAACTTCTACCGCAGCGCACAAGTTGAAATGGCAACTGTGGCGGCAGCGATAAGGTGGAAGCTAATTGAATACTCGCTCCCTGAATCTGTGTCTTGGTTGACAAAATAGCTTTCTAGATTTGCCTATTTGGGCAACTTAATAGATTCACATAGTTTTGAACGCGTTAACCTCACTCACTATGTGTCTTCTGTGTCATGCACAGATGCAAGGTTTGAGCTGAATGATGAATGAATGAATGAATACACACACTTGAGTGGTCCAATCGAGCATATAAAACATCGAAAGATGCTGATAGGAACAAAGGATAAAGACGACTCGATGATTTTTTGCTCGACACACGGGAGCTGACCCATAAACCAGTGGCAAGCGGATAACGGAATTGTAACAACTGACCTTGTGTTGTTTGTCGGGTAACAGTTGGAGTTTGACATATGGATCTGACGACCCTGCAGCCGGATCCTTCGCAGGAGGTAGCCCGCAACATTTGTTAATCGTGACGAATAGTGCCTGCTTGCTGGCACAATAACGTAATCGGAAATGTAATTCACCAAGACGTTGAGGCTTTTCATCGAGCATAGTCTCGCGCTCGATTTTCGCCTCCGGACTCTCTGCCTGAAAAACAACGGGAATATTAGAACATTTTAGTGTAATCCCGCCTACAAAATGCTATCGTTAACAGTAATATCTATCTCTTAAGGTACTCCAAAGCTGCTCTGGAGACGCTGCAAATATCGCATGGTCTACGCAACGTATCTGATGCTAAATTTTCAATCATGATACTACATTGCTATAACTCCAAGCCATCATACATACTGTCTTAGTTAAAGGACACGGACTTGTCCAGTAATCTGAATACTCGGCCTGTCAAAGGTAAATTGCGGCCTGTGGCCAGCCATTTTTGCTCAGTATTCCACAATTGTCTGTCATAATAGATTCATTGTAACTATCCGAATTCACTTCAGCAAGGTAACTTATAGTCAAACTTAACTAGCCTAGTTAAGCCTAATATATCTAATCTCAGTAGCAATTGTTGAATTTGCATACATAATCCAAGAGAACGTGCGAAACCAACATGTACGCCAACGGATCAAGGGTAGGTGTTATGCCAATAACCTTATGCGAAACCTTTCCTTTTTTCTGGTACCCCTAGAGAACATTTTTTCGATGTAGTACTACTCCAAATTCATCCTGCGGGCACCACAGACAAGCACAAACAGATAGAACGGTCTCATAGGCAAAGCAAAATTCGCAGCTCCGCCAGAAGCTATGCGAAATTGATGGGAATTTAACACCGTCAAGGGACCACTGGCATACGATTGAATAATTTTGGGTGAAAAAAAGTTTGTTTGTTTGTTATGTTTTATTAATGGTCTCATCTGTTTCATTCTCTTTCAACAAATGTTTTCCTATATTAATCTCTTCCTATGAACAAGGAAGTTAAGTTTCAAATAATGGTACAAGGAAATGAAGCGTACGTTAGGGCCTGTTTACATACATTCAACTATATCCATATATATGTTCGTAAAAATATAATAATAATATATATGGCTCTGTGTGAAGTGAAACTGATTGGATGAGAGATGAACTCATTTCTCCATTCTCCAGAGCATAATGTTAATTCGTATTTTTGTGGAATTATTGCTATTTTTTTATTTTTTTTTTGCAGGATTCTCTCATATACATATATCCTACGAAAGAAAGTTGTGAAAACTGCTCTTTTTGGGGAGATTTGAGCGAAAAACGTTTCTCCAGCGACAAGATAGCAGCCGATTAAATTAATTCTAATTCGGCTGAACTGGAATGCAATACACTTATACA